GTAGACCAGGGCTGCCCGCTCTCCCCCGGCTACTTCGCCCTAGCCCTCGCAGGGCCACTGGTGGCACTGGATGCACGGCTGCGCCAGCTGGCGCCGACGGCCCGCGTGTTCTCCTACCTTGACGACGTCATGGTTGTCTTGCCCGCCTCTGTCGCCGAGCAGGGGCTGGACGCGGTGGCGGAGGGCCTCGCTGCTGCCGGCCTCACTCTTAACGAGAGCAAGACGGTGGCATGGACGGCAGACCCGACTACGCAGCTCCCGCCGCGACTCGCCCCTTTCCGGAAACCGACTTTACGCTGCTTGGGGGCCGCTGCCCCCTGGGTGGACCGGGAAGACCCTCTCTCGCGCCTGGTGGTGCACGGACAAGCAGATGGCCACGAAGCAGTGCAGGCAGCTGACCGCTTGGTGGCGAGACTCCGCGAGCTTCGGTCGGCCGGGCTGGGCTCCCGCGAAAGCTTCCTCCTGCTACAGACTTACTGCAACGGATGCATCACCCACCTCTTGCGGGCCAACTACGAAGACGGGGGCTGGACCACGCTGCTGGACGACGCCGTCGTCAGAGGGATAGAAGACCTACTCGGGTGCACGCTACGCGCGGACCAAAGAGCGCAGTGTTTTCTCAGACTCGCGCACGGAGGACTGGGGCTGACTTCGGCAGCGGAGACAGCTGCGGCGGCTTACCTGGGAAGCTGGGCTCTGACGTTGAAAAGCGTGCGAGTGTGCCTGGACGCGGTCTCCTGGCAGAGCCTTAGAGCACGGTGCCCTGCTGTGGCCGACGCCATTCGGCGCGCAGAGACGAGACTACGGGCACAGGGCAGCGGAACCATCGACGCGGTGGATTGGGCCAGCTGCTGGGACGAACCGCTCGCTGGCCAGCAAGGGTACTGGACAGGGCTGCTTCGGACTCGAGCGCGCGCCGAACTGCTACGGACGCTGGGGGAAGACGACCGCGTTGACCTGCGCTCCGCTGGAGGCCCCGGAGCTGGTGGGTGGCTCGAAATTCCCGTGGTCAGGGAGGGGGAGACGCCGGCGAAGGTCCCCAACGCCCACTTCCGCATGGCCCTAGCAGACCGCTTGCGCTGCGACCTCTGCGCCCCTGGAGCGCAGTGCCGGCTCCGCAAGCAGGACGGCACGGTCTGCGGCGCGCTGCTGGACAAGCGCGGGAGGCACGCGCTGAAGTGCCCCTGCGGCCCTTACAGAACAGGGAAACACGACCAGATGCGCGACTGGTGTGCGGCCTACCACCACAAGGCCACGGGGTACGTGGCGACCACGGAGCAGATGGTGTCAGCCTGGCACCGGACTAACCCGAGGACCGGGGAGTGGGAGGAGGCCAAGTTGGACGTCGCCACCCGCGATGCGGTGACGGGCGCCGCGGTCTACCTGGACGTGAGCATCGCCTGCGCTCACAGCGACGACCAGTCGCGCCAGCGGGCTCGCTCCGGCCGGGATGGCCTTGCCGCCCAAAGCCGCGGGGACGACAAGCGGCGGAGGTACCCACCTCACGGGGGCGACCTTGTCCCGGTCGTTTTCGAGACGGGCGGGCGTCCGGGAGATGCGGCGGTGGCCTACGTGCGGTCCCTGGCGCACGGCCTCGAGGGGGCGGCCCGTACCGAGGTGCTGAGGTACGCCTGGCAGCAGCTGAGCTGCCTGCTGCAGGTCGGCAACGCTGAGGCGTTGCTCGCGGCTATCCGCGCCTGAAGCCTGACTGCCAGGTAGGGGAGCCGCCTGCGCAGCAGCACCAGCACAACGGGCGACACCACGGCGAGCGCTACGCCGACGCGAGACGACTCCTGCCGCCAGTACCACCGGCAGCGCCAGCAGCACCACCGCGGCAACCACGCTGCAGCCAGGGAACACCAGCAGCAGCACCGCCGCGGCAAGCCATGCGACCTCGACCAGCACGACGACGACGACGACGACGACACCTACCAGGGCGCCAACTTGCGGCGACGACCACCGACCCGTCCACTCGACGACCGCCGACCCCCGTCTTCCGTTCCCCCTCCTGCCCTCCTCCCCTCCTGGCCGGCCGCCCTGGCTTCCTAGGGGCGCCTCCTAGTGGTCCTCCTTCTCCTCCTCCTCCTCCTCCTCCTCCTCCTCCTCCTCCTCCTCCTCCTCCTCCTCCTCCGCCTCACTGCGCGGCTCTCGCTAGCGGCGCGATGTGGCCTCCCTCTCCTCGTCCTCCTCTTCCGCCTCCTCTTGCTCCTCCTCCTCCTCAGCCTCCTCTTCCTCCTCCTCCTCCTCCTCCTCCTCCTCCTCCTCCTCCTCCTCCTCCTCCTGCTCCGAAAGGAGGAGGAGGAGGAGGAGGAGGAGGAGGAGGAGGAAGAAGGGGGGGGAGGGGGGGGGGGGAGGAAAAAGAAGAGCGCAGGGAAACGGAACTGCGTTCCAAAATCGCTCGGCGGCCCGTAAAAACCACGCGGCACGGGGACCTTGCGCGCCCAGTTTCGCCACCCAAGTTGGGGGGACTCCAGAGAGACCTCCAACGCACCATTCACGACGACCTCCGGAACGAAGCGCAACAGCCTGAAGGTCGAGCTGTAGGGGCTGTACTCCTGGGCCCCGACCTGCCACTGCACGTGGACGTCGAGGCCCTCGGGGGCGTCGCAAACCGCGTCCGTCAACGGGATGTCCCAGTCAGACTCGGCCGCGCGCCTGGCGCCGTGCAACCCCACGACCGTGGGCCCGTCGCCCAGGAGCTTCCTCTCAGGCGGGCCCCTGCCGCGTAATCTTTCGGCTCCGCAGCTCGGCGAGATCGGCGGCTTCGGGGCGGCAAAAGCACGTGCCGATATGGGCCCACGTGGCCGGCTTCCACTGTGGGGGGAGGTCGATGGGGCGACAACCCTCGCGAATAATCGCCTTGTGCCCCGCCGCCCAATTGTCCGCGAGGCCCTTCTGCAAGTTGCCCTCGGGGCGCATCCAAGACGCGCGGGCCAGCGAAGCGGGCCAGCGAAGATGCAGCTGTCGTCGGGCGCTTGCACTCGGCCATCGCGCCGGCGGGCGACGGCGCAGGGGCCGGCGCCGACGAGGAGGATGATGCGCCCCTGAATTTCTCGCAGAACCTAGCCGTGCACGCTCAGTCTGCCACGCGCGCAACTCCCGATCAAGACGCTTCCCCTCGGCGCGGGACACGCGGCGCAGATCCCGAAAGTGGTGGCAGTCTTCAATAGCAAGTCCATGTTCCCGTCGCTGACCTCGGCGGCGGCCCGACGAATGGCTCGGTCAGACACGTGGCCCACTTTCGTGTCCGCCGTCGCGCCCGCGCAGCGCAGCCGGCCGCTGCTCGTCTGCCACCCGTCGCATCTTCTGCTAACCTGCTGGGCGTCGCGGGTGCGAAGACCGAGCGCGCTGCCCCGAGCGTCGGCAGCTCGCTTGCTCTGCCTCGCCGAGGCCGCGAGGCCGCGCGGCCTCGCGAAGTCTACCTCGCTCAGCGCGCTGCGCTTCTGACTGTGCTCGGCCATGTCCTCGAGCCCGCCTTCTCTGCCCAGGGACTCCACCCTCGCGAAAGCGCGCCAGACAGTGGCGGCCCCCCTCTGCGGCCCTTGGTTTGCATCCGTCGCCTCTGCAGCAGCTGCGGCTGCGAGGGTGAAGCAGCTCTGAAAGAGCGGCCTGATAAGCGAGCCTGGGCGATCACTCATTCTGCCGCAGCCTCTGCAAAGGTCGCCGAATGAGTCTGCGCGCCGCGCACCATCGGCCGCCGGCGAATCGACGGGCGCCGCGACTCGGTTGCCGCGATGTCCAGGTCGAGCTGGGCCGCAAGCAGAGCCAGCTCTGCGATCGCAGCAGGGTTCGCTAGACCACCCTCAGCACCTCTGTGGCCAGCGACGGAGTCCTGCGACCAGCTATCCATGAGACGCTCAGGGAGGTCCAAAATCTCCGCGGCCAAGGCGGGCTCCTCGTCGTGGCAAGGAGACGGTTCGGCATCAGACCATGTCGGAGCACGAACGCGATCGCGCCCAAGCACTGGGACCTCGAAAGCGTCCTGAAGGCAAGGGCGCGCTCCTCGCGAGTCATCGAAGCCGGTTGCGCGATGTTTGTCCACGACTCGGGCTCGCAGAAGAGAGGCTCCCACGCAGCCTTGAAGACGTCCGCTATTGGCCGCGTTCGGCTCGTCCGGCCAGCGCTGCCAATTGCATCTGATTCGGCCCTCATGCCTCGCTGCTCCATCTCCCACCGCTTGCCGTCTACCTCCGGGCGCCGGCCCATCATGCAGCGCAGCGGCTCCAACGCCTGCCGCGCGATGGCCGTGTCGCGCAGCGGCGGCGTGCCCATCCAATCTCTGGCGACACTGTCATCTGGCTTGGCGTTGCAACTCGTCTGGGCCCTCGCGACCGCCTCCCTGCGCGGCCCCCACCTCTGCGCCAGCGCCCTGCCCTTGCCTGGCGCCGCCGCCGCGCGCGGCGGGATGGGCGTCGGCTCCGCCGGCGCGACCCCGAGCCCGCTTCCTGGCGCCCCTCCCCACATCGGACTGCCAGAGACCCCGAACCGAAGAGCCTAAGCCGCGCGCGCCGTCCAGCAAGATGAACTCATCCATAGCCGCGCCGGAATTAGTCAATCTGGTCCTCGGCGATCGTACGAACCGAGCTCCGAGGCGAACGACCTCGAGCGCCTTCGAGACTGTGCTCTTGACCATAACCTCATCGATATCGACGCCGTCTGGAACCGCATGTCAATGATGTGACGTTGGGCAGCAAATACAACGCGACCTTCTTCTCGACCAGGCAGCCCCCCCTCGCGGGGGACAAGTCCTGCTTGCGCGGGTGCGCACCCGCGACCGGGCGCCCTCGTCGGGCCCGAATGCGCCGCCCGACCCCCCATCGAAATAAACGGCAAACGCGGGCGAACCCAGCGCCCTCATTCACGGCCAGGGCGAAACTGATTTACCCGGAGATCGTCGGCCCCGCAAGGCTGAAGGCGCGCTCGTATGCGTCGGAGAAGCAATGGAGAGAGCATGCGAAACCGATGCGGCCCCACCCGCCGCTTTTCCTGTCTGCCCCCACTTGCGCCTCGCATCGGCGGTTAGGCCCGGCGCTGTCCAGGATGGGCACCCGCGTATTTGACTGGAAACCGCGCGCAGGCCACCCAACTGCACTGCTGCGCTGCCGGTCCGCTTCCAGGAGGCGCCCCCCAGCGTTGCGGCCCAGCCGCTGCAGCGCAGAAATGGACTGGCCAACGATTCCAAAGACCTTGAAGCACCTTGACGTCAACAGGTCCCCACATCTCGCAGCGCTCTGCAGCAACTGGATCGCTCTTCTCTCCAGCCTCTGCTTGCCCCGCGCATGGGGAGCGCCCGTCTGGCGGGGTGCTATCCGGTGGCCGCCAGCAGCGGGCTGATGAGACGCTCGACGAATATGAGGTTTGAAGCCGCCGTTCACTGAGAGACCCATCGGCGTCTCGTCGCACTTGCGCGCCGCGACGTGGCGTGGCGGATTCACGATCGGAGCGGTCGCGGAAAGCATCGTCTCCAATGCATGTTTCTGGTCCTTCTCCAAATGGGTGATGGCGATGGCTTTGGCCAGGGCGGCCGCGCGCTCGGCGCAGCGCCCGAGGCCGACCCCTGAGCTGTCCTGCATCGAAGCCTTCGAAGTCGCTCTGCCAGCCATTGCGCTGTTCAGGCCCATTCTCATGTCATTCAATATAACAGCCTCGTCATCAGCATCGGCTCTCTGCGGTTCAACTGTGAGCGCCCCCCATGCGCGAATTTGGAAGCAGCGGCCACTTGTCGAAGGCTGCTGACCCCCTGCCACTCCCTGCGACGATGAACTTGGGAACGATTGGCAGGCCCGCTCGCTCGGGGCACACCGCCACAGGCCAGAGGCAAAGCCGGCACAGTCGCGCGGCCGGCCAAGTCAGGGCTGGGCGCTCTCCTGCGCCCGGCGGGAGCAAGTCTCCCGGGGGGCTCGGCCGCGTCGCCCGCGGCAGCCGCGGCGCGCGCACGGGGCCTCGCCCGCGAAGTCTTCCAGCGCGCCGCCCCACCCGTCGCCCATGGCGACCAGCCGCGCTTTCACCGCATGTGGCGCCAAATATGTTGGATGGTCATATTAGCTTAGGATGCCGAGCTTGAGCCAAAACAGGCTTCGGATGACGACGATGGCGACGATGGCGATGACGGGGCGGGCTCGGGTTTGGCGCGCGCAGCGCTGCGAATCTGCGGGGTCACCATCCCCCCCTCCTTTGTCTGTCCCCCCCCTCCTTCGCGCCTCGCCCACCTCCCCCCCGCCGCTGCTGCCGCCCGAGATATTGCAATGCAATCGCTGTGTCTGCGCGCGCCCCGTTCAAGCAGGGACAGACGACAACTTTCAGGTCTCAGCTCGACTGCAATCGCGCCCCGCAGGCGCTCGCGGAAAGAAGCGACGGTGAACGTTGACCCCTGCGTCGCGAAATCACCATCGCACTTAGGTCCCAGAGAACGCCACTGGCAGTGTCAGAGGCGGTCCAGGGAAACTTGTGTCTGTGCGTGTTTTAGTTTTGCACATTGATGTCATGCGTGCGCTGGACTTGTCGCGGTGCTGTTCCGAGACTGTCTGGGCATTTTTGGAACTGCGTCAAAAACATGAAAAACTCATATCCTGAGACTCCCAGACTCTGTCATCGTGGAACTACTCCCTCATTGGCTGGGGAAGGCCACTTAAGGGCGCCATGACTCTAGCCTCGCCCCGTGGCGAACTGCGAGGTCCAGCCCCGGTCCGCCAGAGGTCGTCGCGCTGAGCCCCCGTGAGCGGAGAGGGCGAGTCCAGGGGCGGCTTAGTCGCGGGCAGCCCCGCGGCGCCCGACGCGGACGTCCTCGCCCTCGCCGCGCGCGCCGGAAGGGCCCCGCTGAGCGCCGCCGCGGGTCGCGGCGCCCCACCGCGCCCACCGCTGGCAACGACGTCGGCGGCCCAACCGTCGCCGGCCCTCCTCGCGACGAGGCGAGCGGCTCTGGCGACGGCCGCAGAATGGCCCCTCGTTGCCCTCGCATAGACGCCCATCTGCAGCCCCGCGCTGCGCGACGAAGCACTGGTGATCAACGCGCCAGCGCAGCCCGGGCTCCGCCAGTCCAAGTCGTGGCGCGAGTTCCCCAGCAGGGAGAGAGCATCGCGCAGGGCGACCAGCGCGCTGCTCAAACGAGCACATCGATGCCTTCCGCGGCCGCGCCTTCGGGCACAGGGTGCGCGAGAGCAAGCCGAGCCATCCCTCTAATTGCGCCCTTGCCTCGGGGCGGCCCGGCGGGCACGGCCCGCGGGTCGCCTGCCCCAGCGCCGACCTGCTCAGGGGCGCCCGCGATGTCAGGAGAGGCACGGGGCGCGCCACCTCGCCCGCGCCGCCCCCGGCGCCCCGTTCTTCCGCGTCCGCGCCGACCCGCGCCTGTGAGAGCCCAAATGCTTGCAGGCCCTTGTCGACGGACGGGGCTCGAGTCGCCTCCAGGGCTGGCGCCGCATGACTGACGAACAGCGGCGCGACGTAGCGCAGATCCTCCTCTGAGGGCAGACCTCCTACCACGCCCTCGTCTTCCAGGTCTCCACCATGCTGGGCGAGGGCTTCGAGTGCCATGGCCACGTCGGCGCGGCACGGTGCACGTGGGCCCCCAAAAACGCCTCGCGAAGCCCACGCGGCCCCCCCGCTTCCCCTCCCAGTCAGCTCAGCCTTTTCATCCGCTTCCCCCTTTCATCCAGAGGTTATCCGGGCTGCCCCCCCGCTGCCCGCGGCGCGGCCCCTGCGACGCCCCCGGGGGGCGGCGGCGCTGATCCGCCGCCCAAGCGCCCCGCCTCCCGCGCCCGTTCTGGGCGCGGAGGGCGGCCCCGCCGTTGACTCGGCCTGGCCTCTAGCCTTTCCCCGCTTCCGTCTTGTTTTCTCTATCCCTCTCGCGCCGCCCAGCGGGCAATCCGCTGGGTGGCCGCTCCGCGTGCCTCCATGCTTCGATTGGCCCTGGGTCTGTTACCATTTCTCACTCTGGGCGCTATGCCCATTCCCTTCTACTCGCTCTGCCGGTTTGCCGACGTCCTCCAGTGCCTCTCAAGGATCTTATATTTATATTATATATATGTATAAAAACGCAGTGGTCTCCAGACCTCTGCGCCGCACAGCGTCTCACCACTCTCACAACACTACCATCTTCGCCCGTTTGGTGATTATCCCTTTTCACGCCTCACTACGCCCCCCACGCTCCCCACTCTCCCCGCTCTCCCCACTGTCACCGCTCCCACCACACCCAGCACCCTGCCATCTTCGCCCAGAAGGTGATGTTGCTCCTCTACGCTCTCGCGTTACTTCCCCGTTGCGAGGTCCAGCGTCGGGCGGCGTGCCACGCCATCCACGTCCAGATGGTTTGCTGCTGCCCGCCTGCATGGGGTCCATAGCGGTCTCGCCTGAGGGCCTGACCGCACGCGCACCAGCTCCGACCCTACTACGCCTCGACGCTGCGCGCGGGGCCGCGGCCAACAACAAGTGTGTATGTGTATGTGTATGTGCGTGTGCGTGTTAGTGTTGGGGGTGGGAATGAGACACTTCACACAATGTGCGACGCTTCGTACGCTGCGCCTTCGACAACGCTCGATCGCAGTTCGCACTTCCATCTGCTGCCCGCGCTTGAGGACCGTCTGCGCAACTGGCTTAAACAAAAAGTGTGTGTATGTGTTTGTGCGTGTGTGTGTTTGTGTGTTTGTGTGTGTGTGTGTCTGTGTGTGTGTGTCTGTGTGTGTTTTGTGTTTGTTTTTTTGTGTGTGTGTGTGTGTGTTTTTGTCTTTTTGTGTTTTTGCATTGTTGTGTTTTGTATGTGTGGGGTGTGTGGTGTGTGTGTGTGTGGTGTGTCTGGTGTGTGTAGTGTGTGTGTGTGTGTGTGTGTGGTGTGTGTGGTGTGTGTGGTGTGTGTGGTGTGTGCGGTGTGTGTGTGTGGTGTGTGTGTGTGCGTGTGTGTGTGTGTGGTGCGTGTGCGTGTGCGTGTGCGTGTGCGTGTGCGCGTGCGTGTGCGTGTGCGTGTGCGTGTGCGTGTGCGTGTGCGTGCGCATGTGCGCGCGTGCGCGCGTGCGCGCGTGCGTGCGTGTGTGCGTGTGTGCGTGTGTGCGTGTGTGCGTGTGTGCGTGTGTGCGTGTGTGCGTGTGTGTGCGTGTGTGCATGTGTGTGTGTGCGTGTGTGCGTGCGTGTGTTTGTGTGTTTGTGTGTTTGTGTGTTTGTGTGTTTGTGTGTGCGTGTGTGCGTGTGCGCGTGTGCGCGTGTGCGCGTGTGCGCGTGTGCGCCGCGTGTGCGCCGCGTGTGCGCATGCGCGTGCGCGTGTGTGTGTGTGTATGTGTGTGTGTGTCTCTGTGTGTGTGTGTGTTTGGGGGGGTCTTGGGAGGAGGCCGCAGCACCGCTGAGCGATTTGCTGTGTACCATTCCTCGCGTTGCGGGCCCTGTCCCGAGCCCGTGCCACGGTGCGGATCGTATGCGCGCCTCGTCTTCGTCGTCGTCGTCGTGGGCGGCGGCGGCGTCATCGTGCTCGTGGTGCGCGTTGCTCTGCTCGGGAATTGTTTCCCTGCTGCAGCGACCACCACCACCCATGAGCTGCCGGCGATAAGAGGTTGATGCGCTACACCCCCTGTGGTCAAGACAATTTTGTGATTTTCGTAGATCTTTCAACCAACCAGCAACTAACCCTCTTCTCCTCCTCCTCCTCCTCCTCCTCCTCCTCCTCCTCCTCCTCATGCTTCTCCTTCCTCCACCCTCCTTATTGGCAATTCTAGTTGGCCAGATTGTCGGAGGTGCAGGAGTTTGGGCTGCTGCATGTGCGTAGTTCAGGTCGTTCCCCTGGCTGGTGCTGAAAACGTACACTGGGATGTGATGAAAGTTAACGCAGACGGAGCGAAGGATCTGGATCCAGAACGTATGAGTGAGTATGGGCCGAACTGATAAACACAGTAATGGAAGGTACGAGTAATGAGTTTGCATGGGGTGGAGTGGGACGGAGCGGAATATGGTGGAATGGGGCGGAGCGGCATGCGATGGGATGAAGCGAGGTGGGACGAGGCGGACCGGAGCAATCTGGAAGGAGGAGGCAGCGGACATCTCATTGCGAAATTAAAGAGGACGAAGATGAGGGTGGGAAGGGGCAGAGATAGTAGCCGCCGGAAGGTTCACGAAGCCCAGCGCGTGGACTGAGGCGGCCGACGAGCTTCACCGCAATGGGAGGCACCCCGCAATCGGCCTCGGCGGCACGGCAGGGATGCGAAGGAGGAGGAAAAACAGGACGGGGGATATGAGGATGAGTATTTGTTCCCGCATACGCTTGGGCCTGGCGTCGAGCGCCAGTGAACGACGGGGCACGAGGCTCGAAATCCACCCGCACGCGTCCACTACGTCGCTCCACCGCGCGGGGGGCCCCAAGGAGCGACCCGCCCCGTAGACCGAAGCTTTACGGCAATCCCTGGAGGTCAAGCAGCAGTAGCAACAGCAGCAGCAGCAGCGGAGGAAGAGGAGGAGGAGGAGGAGGAGGAGGAGGAGGAGGGGGAGGGGGAGGAGGAGGAGGAGGAGGAGGAGGAGGAGGAGGAGGAGGAGGAGCAAGAGGAGGAGGAGGGAGGAGGAGGAGGAGGAGGAGGAGCAAGAGGAGGAGGAGGAGGAGGAGGAGGAGGAGGAGGAGGAGGGGAGGAGGATTCGGTGGGCGAGCATCAGACAGTCCGGTGGAGGCACACCGCGG